GAATTCCCCAGCCAGCCTTGCTGGCTGGGGAATTCTGGGAGTTGAAGTCCACACAACTTCAAGGGGGCAAGGTTGAGAAACACTGGACTAGATTAAGCTATACAGTATTTCCTTTTCTTTTTTATCATCACTTTTTTTTTTTAACTCCTTTTTTGTGCTTTATAAAATGCTGCTTACCCTAAATGGAAGAGCATGGTTGATACGTACATATGTATACTAACAGAACAGAGAAAAGACGTATCAGTAATAATCCTGTAAGAGCCAGGCAAGGCAAGGCAAGGCAAAAGCCTACTGAGGACAGTGTTTTGTTCTCACACACAGGACATGAGGCAACAATACCTACCAATTCTACCTTCTCTCAGTCAAAATCCCAAGCAATCATTTCAACAAAAGTGTGCCAAATACTGGGAAGATATGGATTGGATCCACACATTTTGCTAAATTCTGGTTTAAGTCATAATTTAGCGAATACTAGAAATGTCTGTGTTCTTATAACACATGAATTCAAAATCAAACAATCGTGTTAACTACACTTGCACAACACCCATATTCTACTCCTTTAGCCCAATTTCCTGAGTTCACATAACACATTAAACCATCAGCTAATCACTGCACCACGATTTGCACAACACACTAGATTAAAATGTGGTTAGCTAGTTTCTGGTGCAGTACAAACACACCAGCTCAAAGAGGTTAAAAAAAAAAAAAAAGTATGGGAAACAAAGCTAACAGTTTTAATATAGCCAAACTGTTTAATGTGATTTCTATTGTACAATTGCCCTGGAGAAGAGGTTTAAAACGTTAGATTGAGATGTTGTAATAAAACATTGCACGTACTATCTTTTTTTATAAATGGTGTCAATCAATGCACCAGCAGATACTTGGTTCTATTCCCTCAGCAACATGGCTTTTCATGAACCCACCACAGAAAACTCAGTGAAGATGCATCTCGCTTCATCTTCCATTTCCCTTCTGTAAAATCTCCCAAGCTCTCTGGGGTGGGGAGTTACCTTCACCTTGTTTGAGAGCATCAAATATAGTACGGCTGGCCCAGCCCGGCTGGGTTGTGCAGCGATAACAGAATATTGTGCAGAGATAACGAAGCCGCTGGATGGGTTGGACTACAAATCCCATCATCCGCCAGCCGAAACAGTAGTGGCTGGCGACAACAAGAGTTATAATCCGTGACATCAATCGGGGGAAAGCAGTTTCGGATATAAGCGTCCACTGTCGGGAGAAGAGCTGTGAGCCTGGTCAGGCCACTCTTACCGTTGGACGTGAAATAAAAGACCATGGCAACAGACCACGAGGGCTCCTTCTCGCCCGCTCCGGAGATTTAAGCCAGAAAGATACTCAAGCGGGCAGCGCCTTCCGGTTCTAGCGAGGCGGGCTCTCAGGAAGTGACGTTACTGATGGCTCCCATAGAGATAATAATGGTTAGAACTATTTCCGAAAGTCCATTACAGAGATGAATTTTCGAACGGTGTGTTTCACTCCTGTAGGATTTGTGGATAGGTATAGTGACACTCATCCATGCTCCCTCGTTGTCCTTGAACGCACTGCTACCTTAACGAAACAAAAACCAAACTCTCCATTGTGTAGTTTTCTATAAATCTTATCGCTTACTCAGAAAAATGTTTCTTTACTGTTAACAGGTACGTATAGAGATGAGTGTTCGCAGTCTAGTTTAAGCCCCACTGAGTCGGGCTTAATACGTATTGCCTACGTGACAATATCCGCCCTCTCTACGTATCTTAAGTAATAAGCTGCAAATGTGCATTCTTTATTTTAAAGAATTAGTTAATTATTAGTCTATGCCAGTAGTGCGGAATTCTCTAATTCTGAGGAGGGGAGAGAAGTAGCAGCGTTTCAGAGGCTACTTTCCACCCAGTTGATTAGGTGATTTCCCCCCTGTGAATAAACCTGATGATTTTATTGAGATTAGGGTTGGGCAAGGAATAAATATACTACTTACTCTTAATAAATGTAGTCTATGTATCCCTACTGGCTCTCAAATTTATAGATAGTTCCAGTAACTACCAAGGCAAGCTTGGACAGGGAAACCAAGGAGCAAATCTAGAAAAAAAAATTGATGGTGCTCTTTCTTTGATGGAGCAAACCTGATCAAGTTAAAAAAAAAAAAGTGTATTCCCCCTCTAAGTGGGTTATGGCCTCCCAGAGGTCTCAGCCCATAGGTTGAGAATCCTCTGCTTTAACCACTGTAGCACAATGGTGGTAGCTGTTACTGTTTATTGGAGTACATGATGGTTAATAATTTAAAGCTAGATCTGGAAGTCAGGCCAGCCCAGATAAAAGGACTGCCCTTACTTCTGCAGTTCTGCTCATCTAAGTCACTACAGTAGCTCAATGAAAAAATATCTGCTTTGCATGCAGAATTTTACAATAGAAAAAATGCACTGCAGCAACCCAGAACAGCAGAAGAAGGAAACAGACCACCTATATAACATCTTCCAACAAAATGGATATGCATGCAACTTTATCAAAAAGTGCCTGGCCGCTCAACCTACTACAACACAACTAACACAAGCTGTGAAAAGGATCACACTGCCATACATCAGAAACATCTCAGAAACCACCAACAGACTATTACAACCTCATGGCATCTCCGTAGCGCACAAACCAACTAAAGCCCTCCAAAATATCTCAAGTAAACCAAAAGACCCAGTAGCACAAGAAGAAAAAACAGGAGTCATCTACAACATACAGTGCAAGGCCTGTAACAACCACTATGTAGGACAGACAGGCAGAAGACTAGTACAGAGCATCCATGAACACCAACTAGCAGAAGACATGATGAAAACTCTTTAATCTCACAACACATGGACAGACTTAACCATAGTTTCAACTGAGAAACAAACTGTCAGAATCTTAGACCAAGCTAAATCCAAAAATGCGAGGGAATTCCTGGAAGCCTGGTATTCAGACAAGGCAGCAATCAACAGAC